GATTAGTTCGCAGCAATAATTAATCATTTATTTGTAATTCAATTTTATTTAAAATTTAATTAACTTTAAATTTGCTTTTTATGAATAGAGAATGTTTGTTGAAATCAAATTTCATTCCTTGCAGCAATGGCGCAAGAGAATTATTTAAATTTAATTTAAGTTTACTATATTCTTTTGAAACAATTATCTACTTATCTATAATATATATTAAACTTTTGTTTAAAAATTATACTTTTTTAAAAACAATTATATAAATATGTAAAATAAATAATACCTTTTTAACTAATTCTAGATCATCGTATATACGTATATGTATCTGTTTCGGCAGAAAAATCAGACATTCCGCCGACACAGATACATTTGCGAATCCAATGCTAGTGTAGTTCGGTAATGACTATATTTTATGACAGATGCAGCGTTTTATTATCATTTGCATTATTTTATGATTACGAATATATTCTATACATTATATTACCGTGTTTTTTTGGGGGGGCGCCAAAAAAGAATTTTGCCCCGGGCGCCAGTTATGCTCGCTACGCCACTGGGTCCTCTTTAAAAGGCCTTCTTAATCCTAACAACACTGGCGTAAGAACATTAACCCAGTGGACAGAAGTAGGGCATCTAATGGCCTGTTTAAGAAAGCGATGAAATCTATGGATAAGTTCATTGGAATTCAGATGTTACGGTGATGTGTGGATCTTTTTAGTTTCGAAGAATTTATTTAATGCAGTAAATAATTGAAACTCGAACTATCGTCCCTTGTCCGTGGTAATGCACTCGGGTACTCCAAACCGTGAGATCCAAGCGGAAAAAAATGTTTTGGATACTGTGTCAGCTGACATATCCACATTAGGAATAGCCTCTGGCCAACGTGTGTACCTGTCGATATACGTAAGGAGGTATATATAACCTTGTGATGGAGGTAAAAGTCCAACCAAAACGATATGGATGCGACTAAAGCGAGCAAATGGTAACATAAAGTGTTGCAATGGAGTTCAAATGTGTCTATGAATTTTTTACCTTTGACACTCTGCACATGCTCTACCCCATACAGCGATGTCCTTTTGCATGCTAGGCCAGTCAAAAGGCTGTTGAATTGACATGCGAGAAGCTCTGATAACATGACGGGATAAATTGGGAAGGCTGTTAAAATTAACCATGTCCAAATTTCATTAGAATGTATTTGCGACCGAGCGGTAAAGTCGCTGAACACTGGTAGTTCGGTCCTAGGTTCGAATCCCGCGAACGGGCTGTCTGCATGGGCGTTTTCCCCATGTTTAACGTGTATACAAACCAGTTTCCCTTAGAAAGTCCTCCACGAAGGCATTCCTCAGGCAGATAGCTCTCGAGGCTTTGCCACAATCACACACACACATTGGAATGTATTGGCCGCACCAGTTGTCCCGCACATCGCAGTAAATTGAAAGATTTGGTTCCAGCTGCTTAGGTAATAAATTATGTGCATGTGAAGCTTTGCCAGGCAAAAGATTCTGTAATTCTGAATCTTGTTTCTGACATTCTGCAGTGGCGTAGAAATCTGTTGGTGAAGGCAAATGAACCTCTTCCGTTCTCAACAGACCATCAGCGACCGTATTTTAAGAGCCTTCAACATGAGTAATATTAGTTGTAAACTGCGCTATGTAATCGAGGTGACGCATTGGCCTGGGGAAGTACCTGTCAGGCTTTTGTTGGAAGGCGAAAATCAAAGGCTTGTGATCGGTATAGATAGAAAACACTCGACCTTCCACCATATGACTAAAATATTTAACTGCCTCGTACGCACTAAGAAGTTCGCGATCATATGTGCTACATTTAAAACTGTGTTACAGTAAACGTTTTTGAGAAGAATGCCAGTGGCTTCTATGCTCCGTCTACAAGCTGCTGCCAAACCGCACCCATGGCCGAATTAGATGCGTCAACCATTAATGCTAATGGATGCTTAGAAGGGTAGCTAAGAGCTGTTACCGACGCTAGGTCCCTTTTACATTGTACAAAGGCTGTGCGAGATTCGGCCAACCCAATAATTGGCCACGTATCTTTCTTTTTGCTGCCGATTAAATAAGTATGCAAAGGCCCCTGCTTTGCAGCGGCAGGAGGGAGGAAGCGACGATAAAAGTTCAACATGGCCAGAAAACGGTGCGACTCTTGGACAGTTTGGGGTTCTGGGAAATTTTGAATTGCAGTAACTCTATCACTAAGCGGACGAACCCCACCGAGGAAACCTCCTGGCCAAAAAATGACACTTGAAATTTCCCGAAAACACATTTTGATGGATTGACAACTACACCATAGGACTGAAATTGGTCAAGGACTAAACGTGTAAGGTACTTCTCCAGCCTTCTTAGCCTGTCTTCGCGATGTAATGGTCAGCACGTGTCGGCGTGTATTCGAGAGGTCCGTAGTTCAAGTCCCGGCGAGGGCATTGCTCGTTTCTCTCATCTCCTGTTTCTAAAATACCTATTGTCTCTACAGTGGCGCCGGAACTAAAACAGATGGTGGATGATGATTCTCCACCACCAGGATTTGGCGACTGGGTCGCCTAATGCCCAGTCGCTTTTTAAACTGTGGAGTATGTAAGGTATTTTTCCTGCCTTCTTAGTATATCTTCGTGGTGTAATGGTCAGCACGCTGGGCGCGTATTCGTGAGGTCCGTGGTTCGAGTCCCAGCGAGAGCATTGCTCATTTTCCCTCTCTCTTGCTTTCAAAAAATACCTACTGTTTCTACAAACGAAGGTATTCAATGTGCTCATTTTCGTTTGTTGAAGTTGCAAGAATATCATGGAAATATGGTACACAAAAATCAAAGTCATGAAAGACTTCATTTACGAAACACTTAAACTTTGGTGCCGCGTTACACAACCCAAAAGTCATAAGAGGAAATTCAAATAATCCAAAAGGTGTTATGACAGCAATTTTTGGTATATCAGGTGGATTGGCTGGGATCTGATGATAAGAATGTGTTAAGTCTAACGTAGGGAAAACACTTTTGCCTTCCAAGTCTTGCATGCAGTTCTGAATGTGAGGAACCGGATATCTGTAAGACAAAGTAACTGCGTTAAGACGTCCTTAGTCCCTACAAAGTCGCCAGTCGCCATTTTTCTTGGGAACCATGTACAGTGGACTGGCCCATGAATTTTTTGAGGGCCGACAAAATCCCTGTTCAAGCATACATTTAAATTCTTCTTCTGTGGCCCTTAATTTCTCAGGAGGCAACCGCCTTTCGGAAAGATTGGTGGTCCAGTGGTCTCTATGTGATGCACAATACCGTGGTCAGCATTTGTTTTTCTGGTTACCGAGCGGATGACGTAAGGATACTGCTCAAGTAGTTTGTAGAAAGGAGAATTACCGGAAATTAATTTTATTTCAAAATTAGTAGCATTTCCGATATCACCTGCAGCAGACAATTGTGTGATTGATTCGAGTAAGCGTCGATTTTTAATGTTGACCAAAAGAGAAAATTTTTGCAGAAAGTCAGCACCCATTATTGGGTACGAAACCGCAGCTATGACGAATGGCCATTGAAATCTGCAACGCAAACCTAAACCTAAAAACGGTAATATCGCTCCAAATGTTGCGATTTTTGATCCATTAGCTGCAAGTAAGTTTAATTTTCCTGGCGGACGTTTTGATACGGCAAGAGAGAGAGGTAAAACTGAAATGTCAGCACCTGTATCAACAAGAAAGCGCCTGCCTGACAATTTATCAGTTAAATAATCGGCTAATGCACTAGCCGCTTCCACTCGTGGGTTCGAGTGACGGCCCACTCATTTAAAGAGGTTTGTTGGAATGGGCATGGAGGCTTGCACTTACGCGCTATATAACCAAATAGCGAGTGATAGAAGCAAATTCTTTTTGCTCACTGGACTGCATGCTTTGGTAGTTCCTATTATGTCGGTTCCTTGACATAATAGCCGCGCGGATGATGCTGAGATCGTGTCTGTAAAGCTGTGACCTACAATGATAATTCCTGGATCTGTTGAAGTGTATACGAGCCAGTTTCCCTTAGAAAGTCCTCCACGAAGGCATCCCTCCCCTTAGGCAGATAGCCCTAGTGTGCTTTGCTATAATTAAATACACCACACCTGGATCTGTTGCTGGAATATCAACACTGGGATGCTGATTAATTGCTTGTGGCTGGAGAACATCATGAATTTTGTCTGCCAGCTGGGGTAGATTCTCGTTACCAGTGGCAAGAATAACCTGGTTATTGCTCGGGAGACGGTTAAGCCACCATGATTGTAAAACATTCGATTTATGCAAATTCCTGCATTTTTGACAATAACTGGGATGGGCGCATATCGCCAATTTGCAAATCCTGCAGCAGTTGCTTTACTTTGGTATTTTCAGACGCCTCATACACTGAAAGTAATTTATTTTTCAATTCCTCATATTTGTTATCCGAGGGTGGTTTCAGAACTACCTCGTGGACTGACTGTAGAATTTCGGTGTGATTCATTCTCATTAAAAGCACGTGAACAGGTCACCAATTGTGGCGTTTATTTATTTTTACTCAATTAGTGACAGCAGTAAAAGATTGCTGTGTAGAACCATAGAACAGTTCCTGCTCTTAAGCTAAAGAGAATTTTCAAACAGCGAGCACTATCATGAATTGAAGTATGATTGTGTTACCGAATGATCCGAGTGATGCATTTTCTCCTTAAGTTACGCTCATTTTGTTTTTCGAACAATGAACAAAGTTCTGTGTTTCATGAAAATCGAATAATGATTGCGTTTACTAAATGATATAAGTGACGCATTTTCTTCTTTAATTATACTTCTTGAGCAATAGGCAAAGTTCTGTATATCAATGCAATGAAATACAGTTGCGTTTACCATACTTCTTTCCGAACAGCAAAAAAAATTCTTTGTACCATGTGTTGAAATATAATTGTATTTAGCTAATGATGCGGGTGATAAATTTCCTTTTTTCACTAACTCTTCTTCATTTTGACTAATAATATCACTGCAAGTAGTTTCACAAGTAACATTTTGCTTTGCAGGGTACACTGATCACACGGGAAAGTTTCAGCAGAAATTAAACGAGCATTTTTTCCTAACGGATCCCGAAGTCATGATATGGACTCATTACCCATATGATGAGATGGAAAATAACTATAGCAGGTAAAACTCTATTGTGTTTCACAATATTTCAAATACTGCATAACCTAAATTATACTTTTGAATAAATTACAATCTTACACAATATTACATTCTGAACAAAAGAGGTAGTACGAGAGATGGAGCAATATTTGCTGTTTTATTTTCTCTGTAAATGGAGAAAAGATTGAATTTTGGCAATTATTCATATAAAAAAAGCACATATACCTCTGAATAGATCACGGGCATTTTAATACTACAATCATTATCTATTAATTTAATAAATATTTTCTTTGTGGGGAGAAAAAATAATCTTTATGGGATTAAACAAATTGCAACACAAATGGAGTAGCGTAGATTGATTATACTGTTGTGTCAAAAGTTTAGTATATATTGTTATTAAAACGGTGTTTATCTGATTAACCCCTTGAGGCTTCATTAAATTTAAAAAAAAATTGTTTTATTTACACATGTCTCGAAATATTCGTTTGTAGTAATGACAACAAAAAAGTACCTATAGATTGTGTTTAGCCCATTACTGATACTGTCACCTAGAAGGAACACTGCTTATTACATTCTGAAATTCCTAAATAATATGCGTAATTAGTAAAAGAAATCATTGAGATTTCTGTTAAATTCAACACTAGTGAAAACTGAATTTGTAATGGAATTTATGAATAACTTTCTTTTCATAGTTTAAATCTGAAAGTTGAATCATAAGTGTTTTCTGATTAAAAGTAATTGGTCTGGTCAATAAACACTGTGTGTTAACAAATGGGCATTTTAATGGTAGTGAATCAAATTCCTTATCATTGTCTCAGTCAATGGCTCTTCCCGTAAACATTGCTTTTAACAAGCAGGTCTTTAACGACAATAAATTAAAATGTTTTATTGATGCATCAGTAAATAACTGTTTCAGGTTCGTAAAATAATTGGAAATAACTCATAAAATATTTTATTTTAAAAATATGATAAATATATATTTTGACGTTCCGTTGTGAGAGCTATATGATTGTTAAAGGGAATTGTACCCCCCTTATCCTCAGTGTTTGCTCGATCTTGTAACTTGCACATTACATCTTCCTGGTCTGATGAGCCTTACGCATTACCATGAGTGTGTACCATGACTGCTATGTATATAATAAATATAAATAATATATATATATATATAGTAAATAATAAATATATATAATAAAATAAATATGTATCTTTATAATTGTATTTGCATTTTATCAATCTGTGTTCATTCCAGATTTTAAAATATCTCATCATTTCTGGAGACAATTGAACAATTATGAAAATTCTCTTAATTTTAAAAACCATTGTCACAATGCGATCCGTTACTGCCAAGCGAACAACATTCCTGTCCTCTAGTTCGATTGTGGAGAGTGGCTGACAGAATCGTTCTGGCCGGCTGGTTCATCCGTCCTGCACCATACGCTTCCATTTATATCACTATGGCTTGATTTTGTCTAATGCGAGCAACACAGTGTTGCTCGCATTTCTTCGGTCAAACTCTGAAACTAGTTGAAATGACTTCTGTTTTTTATTCCAACGAAACGTACTGAAGCCATGGACCTTATAAGAAATAGACCAACCCAAATGGGTTTTCTCCCTTGTCCTGGCGCATTCCCAGCTGTCACCTTGACCACATCCGGAGGGGTAGGGACGACTTACAGAAACTTAACAATAGTTGGCTATTGCAGAGCGTATAATTTTCAAGAAAAAGCTGGTGACAGCGCCTCATTTCACAAATTAGAATTTTTAGATATTTTTATTTTTGAAACTGAGATTGATTTTTAAAAATTAAACATGTTTATCAAGCATAATTAATGTTCTAAATAATTATAAATCTGTTGCATGCTCTTAGGATGCAACTATGATGTAAGGAAATTTGTATCGATTTCTTATAAAAAAATAATATTTTAAATCTGAACTAACAGAAAAATTCAAACAAACAATTTTCTCTTACAATTTTTATGCTTTTTATTGGTGTAAGTAAAAAATACTAAATTCCAAAAAATGGATTTTTGAAAGTTTTTGTTTAAAATTCTTAATTCTACTTCTTTTTTAAAATTATAGGTGAATATTATAGCATAATATTCTTCAAAGGAGTTTTATTTCAAATATTTTTCATAATGCATCATAGGGATAAACACTTTAATAATTTTTATGCATTTATGCTAATGTTAAAAATTGTATTTAACTGTAATAATTAATTGTGCTAGTATTTTGTGTGCTAGTAATGTTAATAATTAGTGATCATATAATCAAATAAATGATCGTCTTGTTATGATATAATAATTTTAAAAACTACTGCCTGAAAATGCTCATAAAATCAAAGAAAATTATCAGATCTTGTTTAATTTTACCTTATTTGTTTCAAAGCATCAGGTGCTATCAATATATTATTTAATTTTACTTTATTTGTATACAAAAATAAGTTCATAAGTTTTGCGTGTAGAATTTTTACCGATTTATTAAAGTAAAGAAATTTATACAAGAATTACGCGTCAAAAAATGCAGTAAAAAGTGCTTTAATGAGATATATTAAATCTTATTTGCAAAAACTGTGACTTCCGTAATGTCATTACTTATACAACGTATCACATTTACTAATTAAAAACAGTTATGTGATACAAACGCCATAGGTTTCCGTGTTAAAGTAAGCCAAATCGTCCCTACTCCTTCTTGCGGACATGTGGGTGACGCACGATCCGCCTACTGGGTTAATATCTTATTGTAGAGACATTAGGTATTTTTGGAAGCAGAAGAGATGAAAAATAGCAACCGCCTTCGCCGGGAATCGAACCACGGACCTCTGGAATACAGGCCCAGCGTGCAGAACCACTACACCACGAAAGCACGCTAGAAAATCGAGAGAACTACCTTATATACTGCCCCTTTTAAAGGGCGACTGGGGTTTTTAGAGGACCTAGTCGCCAAATCCTGGGTGGAGAGTCATCATCGACAGCCCTTTTAGTTCAGGCGCCACTGTAGAGACATTAGGTATATTTTTAGAAGCAGGAAAGATGAAAAATAACAACTGTCTTCGCCGGGAATCGAACCACGGACCTCTGGAATACTGGCCCAGGGTGCAGAACCACTACACCACGAAGGCACGCTAGGATGGCGGGAGAAATACTTACATTATAAGGTCCATGACTGAAGCTTCCCAAAGGAACAAAGGACAACACACTTTTTTAGTACTTATTCAGTCTGCTATTCTCCGTTTTATAACTCTTCTGAAGGCTCTTATTAGCGAATATGAGTTGCACATCTACTGCAGTTTTACTCATTAGCATCTCCTAACAAGGTCTGTGCATGGTGCAAATTTCAAGCTTGTTGAATGCTTGCTTCATTGTGTTGCATTTTGGATTGGTAGCATTGTATATATATTTTTATATGCATCACACATAAATTGCTCTTTCGCTACACAAATGATTAAAGTTTCATATCACAAGGGTGTGTTTCTGCTGTGTAACTTATAACTTATAAAATAGAAAATAGTTGATAATGCTTTTATAATTTTGCTCATCTTATAAGGTATTTCTCCCGCCTTCCTAGCGTGCCTTCGTGATGTAGTGGTCAGCACACTGAGCCTGTATTTCAGAGGTCCGTGGTTTGATTCCTGGAGAAGGCGTTTCTCATATTTCATAACCCCTGCTTTCAAGAAATACCTAATGTCTCTACAATGGCGTCCGAACTAAAAAGGGTGTTAGATGATGATTCTCCTCACCCAGGATTTGGCGCTTGTGTCCCCTAAAAACCCCAGTCGCCCTTTAAAAGGGGGAGTATATAAGGTATTTCTCTCGCCTTCCTAGCGTGCCTTCGTGGTGTAGTGGTCAGCACACTGAGCCGGTATTTCAGAGCTCCATGGTTCGATTCCCGGCGAAGGCGATTGCTAATTTTTCATCACTCTTGCTTCCAAATTACCTAATGTCTCTATAATCTTAGCTAAAAATCTTAAAAATTCCGCTACTGACTACCAGTAATGCGGTTACGACGTATTCTGAGATCTTACACTCAACAGGACGGATTCGAAGAGGCTGAATCTTAGGGTTCCGTGGCTAGACACGCCGAGACTGTCATCTGGGTCATATGGACACAACCATATAAAGATGCTCGTAGTAATAATTGTTGCAAGGTACTCATCGATGAAATGAAGTATCCGGCAGGTCAAGGTGCACAAAGCGAGACTAGCCCGAACTGCTCCAGCCACGATCATTTGGGTTGAAGATTGCTCCACTCGACGTTTAGTACCTTCTACCATTTCATGACGCTTGCTTGAATCAAAGATCATGCTCAGGTTGCCATTTAAGATGTTTTCTTTACCAGCTCAACATAGACATCATTTGGAATAGGTCCGTGCCCACCATCAGGGTTAACCGCTTGCTGGCATCACATTTTTTCAATGATGAACCCCGTTTCAATCATAAGGCAGATAATCACTAGTCTTTTAAACATACCAGATCTCCTAAATAGACATTGTTATGCAGAAGCACATGGATAATACTCGTGGTATGATGGTGTGATGTGCTTTTTCTTATGATAGCAAGTCGACCCTAGTGATCGTGATTGCAAGTCTTAACAGTACAGAGTTCTTGAATAACATGCTGCGACTGATGGTTACCCTTCATGACCCTTCACTCTGCAGCCATTTTCCAACAAAATAATTCTCGCCCCATTCAGCTAGCATGTCTCTTGAATGTCTTGATACTGTTTCAGGTCTTCTTTGGCCAGCAAGATGTGCAGGACATTCAGAGTCAAGTACATGCGCCACAAAGCCATGAAGAATTTTAAAAACAATTAAGAAATGCCTGACAATGGCAGAATGATATGAGGTATGTTATCATGCCTTACCTCGACGAAGAGGAACATGAATCCCAATCAGGGAATGCTTCCCATATCATTATTTGTAACCTTTAAGACGAAATCATTGACCACTAAACTGTCCTGGAGTTTAACAGAAAACAGACATTTCCTTATTTTTTTCTTGCGTATGTTATGCCGTTTATGAATTTTACTTGAACGTTTTGAGTCCTAAGGATATTGCCCCTTCACACACCGAAAATAGGAAAAAACCATTTTGTGTGCATTACGCAATACATTACAACAGTTCAAGTTGCTATGCCCATTCGGGACTTGAATGATGGCGAATTACCAAATATGCCAGATAATCAGACTAAAATTGTATAAAGCTGCAAAAGCGACCTTTTACGCTATTAATCATAATGAGAAATGAAAAAGACTGCATTTAATGATTCTACAAACATACTTAGTGAGTCGAACTTATTATAAACAAGTTTATTCAGAGTTTAATTATATTTAATAATTTTTTCCTTTGAAGTCATCAGAATGACCAGTACATGAAACCTTTCTGAATGAAGTTCGAATGATCACTTGCTCCTCATATTGAGCTCTTTTTGCAAAATATATTGTTTCGTCGAATATGAATACTCATCACATTTCCCATATTATGATTGCCGTTTTCGGCATATTTCATAAATGTATTTAACACTTCACTAACCTCATCTAAACTTGGCTGAATCTCTTTCTTATTCACTTTTCCTTTCTTTGTTACCTGTCAATTCAACACTTTGAATTAATGACATCGTCACTTAACTCTTTCAGTTGACTCAGTTTATCACTTTCGTCTCTCAATAATTCCGTTTTCTGAAAGCTTGATTTGGAGGAAAATTTTCAATTATTTCCAGACATTCAGAGTGATTGGACATTGGATCATCAGAACCTTTTCCTTCTTCAATGAAATTTTGCTTTACGGTATTTGGTCTCAATTTTCTTCAAGTTTTTTGAAACGGTGTGCTTTTGTGGTATCTACATGTTTCCAAGCAATAGCAGTAGTGAAAATTGCTATTCTCGTATTGAATTAAAATTAGTAGTCATTGATGCTTTCCCTCAGCAGCTTTTATCAAATTAGTAAATAAAAAAAAATTAAATCTACACAAATGCGAAGTTTTGAACAAAAAAACTAACTGTAAATGGCAGAAAGACGCGAAGCAATATCTGAAACTTTTGTAAGTGTTGCCAAATGAAGTGTTAGCAACGGCATCTTCAGGCAGGAATGTTTGTGAAAGGCGTGCCAGATTATCAGGTGCGCTGAACCATTAAATGCCAGACTAGCGGTCTTCTGCTTCAACGGTAATCGAAGAAAGTACTATTATTAACTGTATTTGTAAATAAGACAAATGTTTTATATTCAATGTTATCGTGCTCATGAATTTCCTGAATGCACTAACTTCATTGTTAATAATTTTAAATAAATGCTAAAAGGTTACAACTATGGGATACTTGCTACATCAGCAAAAATATTAATAAAGCATATTTTATCTCTTCTCAGATATGTCCAGATAAATGCATTACAGAATTCCTTCTCGGGCGGCATATCTTGTTAATCTATTAGAGAATACAATCTGGATGAATAATTATTTTTGCATGCTTTCTAGGTCCTTTTAAAAAGTTCTGTGGCGTAGATAATTGCCATAGCTATGCAGAGTAAAAATTATATACAGCAGTTACATTTTTAAGCTCCTCTTTCAATATTTGTAGCTTAGACACAATTTTATTTCAATGTTCTTTCAGATGGCAGCTGTTAGAAGTAACAGTCAGTTTGGAGGAGTTCAATGCTTTGCCCAAAGTCACCCCATACTTCTTCGATTACAACATGAAAATTAGGTCAAGGCCTCAGAATCCGGTAGTTTTCAAGGTATAGTACTTTTGTATTTTTAGAATATGCCTGTATTATCAGTCTCTGAAGTTATGTCTTTAGCATTCATATATTATCATTGTAAATACGCATATACATTCTTTGCCGCGTTCGCTAAATAATTCTAAAGCTCAATATTCATATCAAATAATAAAGGAATTTCGCTTACCTGTCAGACGAAGCAAGGATTCTCGCCTTTTGTCATTTTATCCAGTTTAGACGCACATATAATTACATAAGAAGCAATATAAATTATTCGCAATGCCCGATTAATTCTGTAAAACTCATCCTCAAGAATCGGGCAACAGCGCCATCTGTGCATCAGTTTATAATCATAAATGTTATAATTATCGGATATATATATATATGAAATGTAATTTCTCATACATTATTTGTTTTGTGCAGCCGGGGCAAAACAGGAATGAGACAAATTTTGGAATATAAAGTGGTAGGTTTATTTTAGCATCCATCTCACAAGCGTTCTCCTCGTACCTTGAGCAGAAAGCCCTATTTATACATATGTGTACGTCACGAGGCTCCTCCAATCAGCGATATTAATTGAAATCACGAGGTGACGCTATCTTCTCATCAGGAGTGTTCTTAAGTACTTTATGTAATATGACAGATTTATGAGTTTGGCGATTTGGCGGGCGCCAACAGGTTAATATATTTTATACTAAAGAAAGGATTTCGCCAAAATTTAGGAACAGGGATGCAATTTAGGTAGAGAATCGCCAACACATTATTAAGCAATATTAATAGAATTTAATTTAATCAATTGATTTAAAAATATCATTACAGATTATCCCCCCCCATCTGAAAAGGCTTGCAGTCGCGGCCGTCGACCCAAGACAGTCCAGATAGTGAGAGCAGAAAATTTAGTTATTAGGAAATTAAGTGAGTAGGAAAACTGATTGGATTTACCTCAAGGCACACAAAATGTTTACATAAAATATGACATAAAATATTTGAATATAATTAATACAGTATATAAAATATAATAAATGATTAATGAAATTATAATAATAGTAAAGCAGAAAACAAATAAAGCACTAATAACATATTGCTGGTTAGCTACGCGGCAATAGGAAATAGTAATATAACTGAATTTGTAAGTTTATATCTTAGGGCATGCCATTCACAGTTTTGTGTATGAGTCCGTACAATCATTAGAGTTGTCATTCAGGCTCATCTTCAGTCTTTTACTGGTCTTTGGAGATCTCCGGATCATTTAATTAGCGCTAGAATTATGGATAGCATTGGCACTGAAAACATTTGAGTTTTTATGTCACGATACTAGAGCTCTTATACTCTTGTTGAAAATACACATTTTGCTAGGTTTTTTAACATATTTTGTCACTCTATTTTTCTCTTATTAATGATAACAAAACAAAATTTAACTTCCAACATCCATACCAGTTTTTTTTGTACACGATGCTGCAGAAACATAAAATGAAATTCAGAAATTTCAACAACTGAAATTTAACTTTTTCAACTGTTGCTACAATTTATAACACAAACATAGGAAAACATGAGCTCAAGGGAAATGTGAGGGTATAGTACTCTACTTGTAGTATAGCCTCAATTGAGTGTTTCCCACACGGAAAGTGCATTGAACCTGAAACTCAAGTTTGAAGGAGCCCAGTAAAAGAAAAGGGCAGACAAACTTTTCAGACACTGAGAGATAAATCAACTATTAAGGGGGACAACAGGATGAAAACTAAAAGAAGGGTTATGGATAGTTTATTGATTTATAAATTTTGATTTATTCATGATGTAATTTAAAGTTCTCGGGTGGATAATAGAACCTTAATTTTGACGCATGTACAATCTCAGTTGGTTTCTTCGTGTGAAAATTTTCCCTGTCGATTTCATAATTAACTTCAGATAATTTATTCATAATCATAAGGGCCTGATAATAGGGTGTCAATTTTCTAGTATTTGGGTATTCAAATTCCTCGTAAAGGAGGACAAAATCTCCAGGTTGAAATTTAGATTCTACAAATCTGATGTCATATCTAGTTTTATTCTTTCGGTGGTATTCGATAGTTCTTTTCTTTGCTAAAGCCCTTGCTTCATTTAAGGAAGGAAGGGTATTTATTTTGATCAATTGGAGATTCAAAAGGGAGGTTACCAAATAGTAAGTATGCTGGGGTGAACTTAGTTACCGTATGAGGGGAGTTGTTATATTCGATAACAACTTGCTCTAGCACTTTAGTCCATGGTACTTTTTTAGAAGAAGAATTTACTTTACATTTTAGTCGACTTACTATTGATTGATTTACTCTTTCTACTTTACCATTTGTCTGGGGATGGTGAGATGAAGTTAAAAGTTGTTTAACATTATGCTTTTTAAGGAATTTTTTTGAATCTAGAGGAAGTGAAGGCTGCATTCCTGTCACTCAGAATTTTTTCGGGGACTTGTATTTGAAATATTTGTTTTAGACAATTGGCATAGGTTTCTGAAGTTACACTTTTAGAGGGAAAAGCCCAGACATATCTTGTTGCATGGTCAATAACTATATGTAAATATTTTTTTGTAGAATTATAATAATTAAATCCTCCCACAGTGTCAATAGAGAGACATTCGAAAGGTTTGTCGGTTGGGGGTACGTCTTGCATAAGACCAAATTTTTTCTGTTTTTTCTTTTTATTAAGTTGACAAGTATGACAATGTTTAACAAAATTTCCGATATCTTCGCTAATATGAGGCCAATAATATTGAGGGGTGATTAAGTTAAGCATAATTTGAACTCCCCCGGGTGACCAAATTTTCATGGGTTTTACTCAACAATTTTATTCTTAGGGATTTAGGTACTACGATTTTATAAAAATTCTTTTTCTTTACCATCATATCATTTATCTCTTGGTAATTTTTTCCGCAGACATTATCAGTTTTTTGTTGTTGGATTATTTCATTTTCTATCAAGTAAATGTACATAATGTTGGAGGTGCTGTGAAACAGGATGTCTAGAAAGCATGTCAGCTTCAATATTGGTAGAGCCCTTCTGATACTTTACTTCATAATTGAACATACTTAGTTTGAGTGACCAACGGAAGAGTCTACCTTTTAAATTTTTAACATTTTTGAGAGCCAAACGAGGGCCGCATGGTCCGTATGTATAACAAATTTTTGTCCATGCAGATAGTAATAGAATTTGTCTAGGGCATCTACTATGGCCAAACATTCTAACTCAGTAATCGTATAATTTTTCTCATAATTTCTTAAAGTTAAAGTTCGGGAATGATATGATACAGGGTGAAGGACATCATTTTCATCTGGTTGTTTAAACAGCTCCAACAGCAGTTTGAGAAGCGTCAACAAAAAAATATGACATGGCCTACTGGAATCATACAATTGTAAAACAGGTTTGGAAATCAGTATTCTTTTCATTTCGTCGAAAGCTTTTTGACATTGGTCATCCCATTCCCACTTGACATCTTTTTTCAAGAGTCTGTTTAATGGAGCTCTAATAGTTGCATAATTCGGAATGAATCTATGATACACATTCACACTTCCCAAAACTCTTTGTAACTCTTTGGTGTTACTGGGGTTTTTAAGTTTCTTAATAACTTCTATATTATGGTTATCGGGAATTATTCTACCATTTTTTATTTCATAGCCAAGAAATGTGATCTGATCTCTGGCGAACACACATTTGTTTCGATTCAATTTAATATGCTCCTCTTTAAACACCTCAAATAAAATTTTTAAATGTTCTAAATGTTCCTTCTCAGAGGAAGAGTAAACGACGATTATATCATCAAAGTAACTGCAAGCGAAATTAATTTTATTTTTTGTTAATATTCGTCTAATTGTTCTGTTAAAAATTGCAGGAGCATTTTTGAAACCAAAAGGGAGTCTTAACCATTCGAATAATCCAAAATTCGTGCAAAAAGCTAATTTCTCAGTATCTGCAGGGTGAATCGGGATATGCCAGAAACCAGATCTCAAATCAATTGTAGAAAATACTTTTGCTTTACTTAATTTGTCTAACAAAGTGTCAATGCGAGGAAGAGGGTTTGCATCTGTTTTAGCCAGGGAATTCAATTTTCGATAATCTATACACAATCTAGTTTTTTTTACCTTCCTCACGTTTAAGTACTAAAGTCACGGGGGACGAATATGGGCTACAACTTTCTTTAATTATACCTGCTTGTAATAATTGATCAATTTGGGTCTTAATTTCCTCTTCTTCCATAGGGGATGTTCTATAAGGTCTTAATGATACAGGCAAATCAGAATTTAAATTAATTCGTTGAGGTTCAATATTAATTTTTCCTACATCATACTTATTTTTAGAAAACACAGATGAATAATCATTTAACAATTTTTTCCAAGTTATACTCTTTGTTATCGACAGTATTAGAAACAGCATTTTTCACATAAATGTTAGACTGAGAAACTAATTCCTTTGGATTTTGTAGTCCGAGATTTACAGGTTGGAAAATTTCTTACATCATCATCATTATTAACACATGGATAAACATTTGTTGTACCACCTTGAAGTTGGAGGTGTAGAGATATGGGTCGGCTGTCAAAATGGCAGTCATCATTAAGTACAATAGCTCTCTGTTTAATTTTTAAATTAGTACAATCAATACTCAACTCAAATAATTTGCATTCATAAAGTCCTAAAATTACATAATTCAAATTATTATCAAGAACAAACAAGGTAATTTGGTTACTAATCCGTCCAATTTTCATTTGTATACAACATATTTTGTTGAAGATTATTTTTCCTTTAGTTTGGGTTACTGAAAATGATCTAACTCTTTGTACTTTTAAACGTAATTGTCTAGCTGTTTTGGAAGAAATTATTGATATGGTGGCACCACTGTCTACAACACACTCTAGACGTTTCTTATTGGGACAAATATCCCGACACCTTTAATAGTCAACTACTGTGAGGGGTTTCTGGGGTTGGTTCTATTGCAAGGGGCGTAACATTAGGTGTATCAGATCTCTCTCCCCTCTGAAAGGACAAATCTGAAACCAG